TACATAAAATGCATCCTTGGCCTTTTTTATTAATCATTCCAATTCATTCTAGGAAGATAAAAATATAAGAAATTAACAAGTACATAAAGTTTAGAATGGATTTAAGTAAAAAAACTAGGAAAGAAAATGCATGCAGCTAGCAATCATGCGGTCTCTTCCAGATGTAACTTTCTAAAATCAATGCTATTACGGGGGCATGCATTTGTTCATATAGGAATCTGCTTTTATATTGTTCATGCTATGAGATGCTTCATTTGTTGGCTCAGTTTGCTAAATGAAACTTAGCAACTGATAATAATAATTCCTATGCTCCGTTCTTGTGTAACATTCAAGTTTAAACATTTTTACTGGAAAATAAATTATCCTTGTGATAATTGTATAGACTAATAAGACTAAATCTTGAGCACCCAATTGAATTACTAATAAATATGAGTCAAATGTTATCATTGGTGCAGATATTAGCTCACGGATGAGCATCATTTTTATACTCACTGATGAGCATCATTTTTATATTTCACCTCTTTTAGTACTCTTCATGACAAGTCAAATATCATCATGTTCCAATGTTTACCCTTTATATAAATGAATTTTTTATGTAGCATTCTTCTTTGTGGGATAATTATTTTTAGCATAATTATAAACTTAACCATCTTAATTGGGTATCTAGAATGCATGGGTGAACTCTACAAAAAATCTTGATACTTATCTTGGTCCTACACCAATAAGATTTATTTTGCTTGTGGGCATTATTTTGATTCTTTATATAAGCTGTGTATGATTGGTTCCATATGCCTAGGCTGTATATAAATGTGATAGAGGAAATTCTTAAACTCCATCTTTTTCCTTAAAGAAATATTATATCATATTATATACGTTGATTGGTTTTTATTTGCTTTTACAATGAATGTGTATTATCTCAATTTTATTATGTCTTCAAAAATTTGACTATTCTCCATGACTATTGAATTCCCCAGCACAATTCAACTTAGCCAAGTAGGTATTCCAAGTTTCAACTCTCTCAATAGTTTTTCCCCTGATCACCTACTCAATTCTTGAGAAATTTTGAGAAAATTGAGAGATTGATGGTACTTGAAATAGTTTTTTTTTTAGTTGTCTTGTTAGGCTATGGTTGTGGGTTGGTATTTGGACCATTGGTGGGGTATCTTTCGGACTAGAAAACCAAAATGGTTTGTCTTTGTTTGATAGACAACCAAATCAAAGAGAAATACATTTGGTGGAAAATTATTTGTTCAAAAAAGTAGCAAAATGGATGTTGGACTTTTTATAAAGAAGTCAAAAATAACTCGAGTTTTTCAATCCTCTCTGTCCATCACTTCCCTACAATTATTGCTTACAGGTTTCCTTAGTTACATTTTCTTGACCAAATTTGTCAAGTACATGTGCAAATTGACATGCAAAAAATATGATGTATGTCAATCAATGTTGCAGCTTTTATAAAGAAGCCAAAAATAACTTGAGTTTTTCAATCTTCTCTGTCCATCACTTCCCTGCAACTCCTTACAAGTTTCCTTAGTTACATTTTCTTACCACATTTGTAAGTACATGTGGAAATTGACATGCAATAAAAATGATGTATGTATATGCCAATATGTAATGCAAGAGTGGAAGAGTTTCCAATCAAACTAGGAACCAATTTCTGCCGATCAAAAAAAAAAAAAAAAAAAA